TTTTTTTTTTTTTTTTTTTTTTTTTTTTTTACAAGGGTTTGTTTGATTTTAAACGGGCCAGAGATTCTAGCTATATAGCCAAATACCAGCGAATCTATTAGTTTCACTTCGATTTCAATTGATTTTAACGGTATGTTAATTCGATTTCAATTGGTTTGAAAAGGAATTTTAATTACATTTCAATTGATGTTAACGGTATTTTAATTCGATTTCAATTGATTTTGAACTGATTTTTAATTCGATTTCAATTGATTTTAAAAGGAATTGTAATCAAACTTCAATTGACTTTAACAGGAGTTTTACTTAAATTTCAATTGATTTTTACAGTATCTTAATTGGCGTTCAATTGATTTTAGCGGGTTTTATTTAAATTTCAATTGATTGTAAAAGGAAATTCAATTGAATTTCAATTGGTTTAAAAAGATTTTTGATTCGATTTCAATTGATTTTAAAAGGAACTGTAATCAAAGTTCAATTGGTTTTAGCGGTATGTTAATTCGATTTCAATTTGGTTTTAAAAGGAATCTTAAATAAATTTCAATTGATGTTAACGGTATTTTAATTCGATTTCAATTGATTTTAAATGGATTTTTAATTCGACTTCGATTGGTTTTAAAAGGAATTCTAATTAAATTTCAATTGATTTTAACGGTATCTTAATTCGATTTTCAATTGATTTTAAATGGACTTTTAATTCGATTTCAATTGATTTTAAAAGGAATTTTAATCAAACTTCAATTGACTTTAACGGTATCTTAATTCGATTTCAATTGATTTTAAGTGGATTTTTAACTCGATTTCAATTGATTCTAAAAGGAATCTTAATCAAACTTCAATTGGCTTTAACGGTATTTTAATTCGATTTCAATCGGTTTTAAAAAGAACTGTAATTCGATTTCAAGAAAGAAATTCATTAATCATTTTCCATGGAATAATCATTTTCCATGGAATTTAAACGGAGTTGTAAGGTAGCCAGTCTAAATTGTGTTTCTAATTCCATTTCAATTGCACCGAATTGGATTTCTATTAGTAATGGATTGCTCTCCAATTGATTTAATGCATTTTCAATAGGTTTTGATGCTAATGGTAATGCCGGTACA